CCATATCAAGCCTCTTGGGAGGCTGAGGCAGAAAGACTGCGTGAGCTCATGAGTTCAAGGCTGCAGTGAGCTATAATCGTGCCACTGCACATCAACCTGGGTGACAGCACAAGATCCTGTCTTTAAAATATATATATACATATCTATATATATGAATGATAAATATTTGTGTCACATATATCATAATTATTCAGATATATAATTCATAAACTCATTTACTATGTTATTTTAGTTTTTAAAACATATCCAATAAGAGTGAGTTTTATACGTTAGAATACATTGATCATATCTATTATATTTTAGTGGAATCAAGTATTAAAGGATATTTAATAAATACTAATTATTAGTAATTTTAAGTGATCAACTTTATAACTTTTTTTTAGAGTACTTGAAATTCTGGGTTTCAAAATGAAAGGTTTTTCCAAGATTAAAGCCACAGCTACTTTTATGATTTATTAAAACAGTGACTTTGACTTGATTCATGTTGTAAATTTCCCAGAAATAATGTTAGTACTAGAGCTGTTTCCCAAAGCTAATTACCTTTACCTATTATATAGTGTAATTATACAACTATTTTAAAAAGACTTTGGAAACAAGTAAAGAAAGAAAAGGAGGGAGGAAGGGAAAGCAAAAGAAGCAAAGAAGGGAAGGAAGATAGTAGGAAAGGACAGAGAGAGAAAAAAATTTTAAAATATTTTCAAAGGAAATTCTACATCATTTTAGTTATTTAGTTATCATAATATGTGATATCAAATAAAATGTGGTACTTTGATAACATGGGTGATAAAAGAATCAAAATGTTTCTTGTAGGCTAACTGAATCCTATCAGGGCCACACTTTCATGATGGTGTGGTAATCTACAGAATAATAGCAATCTTAGAATAAAAAGTTTATTGATATAGTCACTATGTAACATGTATGTTCATATTTATATACATAAATCATATCTGTAAAAATCATTTAGGAAGTTCTAAGATTTTCTGGATAGCAGACTATTTTAGTCATATGTTCATATTTATATACATACAATCTTATCTGTAAAAATCATCGAGGAAGTTCTAAGATGTTCTGGATAGGAAACTATTTTAGGCATCTGAGAGATAATATTCCATAATACCAGCATGTTTTCATTTTATCAATTACAGACATAATTCCATATGCATTACAAATATGTTGGCTTTATTAAAAAGAAGATTCTAAGCATAATTAACTTATTTTATGTTTTCGAGAGCCAATCTGTGATTGTCATAAGTAATTTTAGTCACTGTACTACAGACTGAATGGGTCCTCATTCTAGCAAAAACTCTAAAAATTTGTTCTTGAAACAGTGGGTGCTATAATTATGTTTTTTCATCACTGACCTCCTGTTCTGGAGGTGACTTGGATTATGTGCTGCATAACCTCTTAGAAAGTGTTCTAAGGCAAGATTTACTAGGGCATCAAATTCTATGGTATCTTTGCCAAGTAATTTTGCTCAATTGTGTTGCCGCCTTATTTTCCTGGTAAAGGACTATTGCCTTTAAGATAGTATTGAAAAAATGTTAAGTTGATTTGATGTTAAAAACCTCTGTTTTAGTGTGAGCCAAGTTTCTTCAAGTAATAACTTGGCCATTTTCCAGCTAAGGAAATTTCAGAAAATAATTCTTAAAGCCTAGATTTTATTATTTTAAAAATACAGGTAGTAGGGCTGGGCGTGGTGGCTCACACCTGTAATCCCAGCCCTTTGGGAGGCCAAGGCGGGCAGATCACGAGGTCAGGAGTTCAAGACCAGGCTGGCCAACATAGTGAAACCCGTCTCTACTAAAAATAGAAGAAATTATCAGGGCATGGTGGTGGTCTCTGGTAGTCCCAGCTACCTGGGAGGCTGAGGCAGGAGAATCACTTGAACCCAAGAGGTGGAGGTTGCAGTGAGCAGAGATCGCACAATTGCACTCCAGGCTGGGCGAGAGTACAAGACTCTGTCTCAAAAAAAAAAAAAAAAAAAAAAAAAAAAGTAGGTACTATTGATACCAACTTCTGAACTTATCATAAGTATGAATATGAAAATGCATGTAATACATACAGTCTGATACATGGTAAAACACTCAAACTGATAGCTAACAACTCTTGTTATTATCATTATTATTAAAATGCAAGCAAAGTTGCTGACATTGCATGACACTGTGCCCCAAGTCCTACAATGTGTTCTGTTAAACCCCCGCTCTTTCTCAGGCAAGTCATATACAAGGTTAGCCATTGTGTATGATTATAATAAGTCTGATTATGTCCAAATAGGCAAAAGTTTTTCTTTAAAAAATGCCCTTGTTTCTATACATCTTCAGTGGGTGAACTGACCATCCACCACTAGGTGAAATCAGTGGTTTATATAAAAATATTATCCCAGAACTGACAGTTCCCTAACATGCTTTCAAGGTGTATTCAATGTTTTCTATTTCCCAAACCTTGAAATAGATGAATACTTTAGGTATCAGTTGAAGTGTCTGGGTACCCTTGATATGTGGTTATCCATTCACCTATTTATGCATTCAGTCAAATACTCCTTGAATAGATATATGGGTCAGGTAATATTCAAGGTACTCAGCTAGAGTCCCTACCATAATGAAGCTTGTATTCTTATGTGGGAGACAAACAGTAAACAAGTAAATACATAAAATACATGCTATAATTTCAGACAGTGTTGCTGAAGAAAGATAATTTAGTGGGAGTATTAGAGAATGCCTAGAGAAGAGGAGGGTAAATGTATTAGCCAACAATTTGTAAGATGAGTGTATTATATTGCTACCTTATTTTCCTGGTAAGGGACTATTGCCTTGGCAAAGCCAGGGAGGCAGGAACAAGGAAAATGTGTGAAAGAGAAATGAGCAAGGTGAAATCAGATGAGCAGGCAAAAATTAAATGTTTTTAGGATCAGATTGCCCATACTAACAGCTTTGTATTTATTTTGTGTGTGTGTGTGATGCAAAATCATTGGAGGGGTTTGAGCAGGAGTCATGAGATAATTGTAATAGAATTGAAGCAGAAAGTCAATTAAGAGTCTACTGCAGAAAGTACAGAGGATATGAGTAGACATTAGGGCATATATTCATTGAGGTACTGGCAGGATGTGATGATTATTTGGCTATGGGTCTTAAGAGAAAGGATCAATGATTACCCCTAGGCTTTCAAATAGAACACCTTAGTAAAAGGTAGAGCCATTATCTATAGTAGAAGAGTTGTAAATTTGGGAGATGAAATCATTCTGGTTTTGAATATGTTTATTTTAAAATAGCATATCTGCAGACAATTATATGTCCAAGTTTGGACTTAAAAGGTTCAGAGTTTAGCCAGATATTAAAATTTAGTATTCATGAACAAATAGAGGATATTTGAAGCTATTGGACTGGGAGAGGTTCCAGGGCCCAAGAGTAGAAGCAGAAAATATAGAAGTTCTCGTAACAGAGCCTTGGAAAACTCCAGCATTTAGTAGCCAGAAAGAGTGAGAACACGCAAAGAGTCTGAGACAGAGCACCAGATGGGAAGGAGAAAAGGCAGAAGAGTGGGAAAAAAGTTAAACAAAGAATGTATTCAAGGAGACAGTGATCAGTGGTGATGTGTAGTATATGAAAGGACTGAACTTACAGAAAATAAGGAATTATACAAATACTGAAGATTCACATATTTATCTCATAGCCCAACTGTAATTCATGAACCAACATGAGCAACAGATTATTTTCAAGGACAGTCATGAAGAAAATGGCAATATAAAAAACAACGTTCTCCAAACTGTTTTTACACCAAAGTGTCAAGTCCAGGCAAATCAACACCCTGTGGGGATAATGTTCTTGCTTTTTCTGCATCAGAATAATGCCAAATAGAAGTGTTTCTTTCTCTGAAGAAGTTCATGTTGTAATTTAGTGTTTAGGTTTGAAGTCAAACTTGACCACATACTAGTTCTCTGCTCAAGATATTTATTTGACTTCTAGGTCTTAAGACATTCACAAGGCCTAAGCACTGTGGATGTTACAGTGCTCACCTCAGTGTTACCTTATGTAGTTCCAAATGAAACCAATCTAAAACCTAATATAAGTGAGGACAGCCAGCAAAGTTTTAACTGTTCCTTTATCATCACTTTGATTCTTTTAATATCTTACCAAATTTTAATTCAAATTTTAATTGTTTTCTTTAAAAGTGAAATACTTTGGTGTTCCAACTTATCTTGCCTATACCTGGAATATTTCAGCATTCTTTAACTTATTGTAAGCCACAAGTTCATTAGGTCTAACATGGGTAACAGAGTACACATACATCATCTTTACTATGGTCACGGCACATGGTAAGCATCTAGCAATTGTTAGCGATCGTTAACTTACCCATTATTACTATCATCTTCATTATTGTAACTTAAAGGATTGAGCATTAATTTAATGATGTATAGAAATACCTAGCATTGTAATCAACACAGTGTAGATGGTAAATAATTTTTGTTTTTTTAGCTTTCATGCCCATTCCTGCACTTTACCACAGTCCTCTCAAATTAGCCAAGCATGGTAGCACACACCTGTATTCCCAGCTACTTGGGAGGCTAGAGTGGGATAGGAACACTTGAAACTGGAAGTTTTGAGGTTACAGGAAACTATGGTGATGCCACTGCAGTTCAACCTGGGCAACAAAGAATGACCCTGTCTCTGAATTTAAAAAAGGAGATATTGGTTGTCTTGAGAGGCAGATGTAATTCACATAATTAAAGGAAAGTGGTAGAGAAGATGCCCAAAGCAACCATTAATTTTTCCCTCATATAAATCATTTAAAAATAACCTGTAGTAGAGATACTTCATTGATTCAGATTGAGTTATCATGAAGAAATAATGATCTGGCTACATTTCAATCCTGAAAGAATGAAATTATGGAAATACGATTTTCACTTCTGAAAGACCATGAATTTTAAAAATCCATTTAATGTTATGATTACACTTTGTTTTAACTTGGTGACAGCAAATTAATAATTAATAATTTTATTTTAGGGATTACCTGCAAGTCGTGTGAGGTATAGAGTAGATGATGTCCAGTTTCCTTACCCTGCCAGTATTTTTGATGTGGAAGAAGATTCTGGAAGAGTAATAACACGAGTCAATCTTAATGAAGAACCTACAACAATTTTTAAGGTCAGTGTCTCTTTTCATTATGTAGTCTATTTGATGTTTAATTTTTGATAGAGAATTTGGCCTAACAGATGACAGCACATTTTTTTATTTCAATTTTTCTCCTTTCTAATTTTTTTAAATTACAATTTTTTTTTTCTTAGAAACTTCCAAAATAGTAAAAAGAAAACCACTTGGTATCTCACATCTTAGAGACAGCCAGAATTTGCAATTTTGATCTCTATCCTCATGATGACATTTCATACAAATACAAATATATAAATATATGTTTTCAAATCACATAGTCTTATACATACTGCTTTTTAAATTCAATGTTATATTGTCTATGCCAATAAGTGACATTAATGCTGTTATTTTAGTGGTTTCATAGTATTTTACTATATGAGTATAACATTATATTTTTCTTTTTAATATAATATTGAGTTGCTTTACAATTAGACTGTTTCCATTTTTTGTTACAATAAATGCTATCCTGTAACTATGTGTATGAATATTATTTTTCCCTTACTCATTTTTTTCTTAAGATAAGTGCTCTTGATATATTATAATTCTAGAAAACTTGAAAAAAAAATACCCCTTTCTATGTATTCTTTATCTTTCCTGAGAGTATCCATGTTCCTAATACCACTCAACAGTTGGATGTTGTTATGTTAATCTTTGCCTATATCTAGGAAAATATCTATATCTATTTGATTTTTGTCAAATTTTACTTTTCTTCAAAAACTAATGAAACAGAACATATTCACACTTTTGTTTTTTACGTATTTAAAAATATATTTGACAAAATAATGCCTGTCTCTACCTGGCAAGGTATTAAAAAAATATTTTGCATTACCATAAGTAGACAATTTTATTAAGTGTTTGAACATTTCCATTTTTAATAGTTAACTTAGAATAATTTTCGTTACTGTGAATAAAGCATTTGACTCTATAGTAGGGAAATAGCTTTATCAGTTAACCTCGTAAGTATCAGTGAGCACTGTGTCTCTCATGATTTTACCACTGTTTGGAACAGCTGATCAGTTTGTAAATTAGCATTAACCCAAAGGTCAGTTGTGGCTCTCAGGATGAGATCCTGAGATCCAGGATGGTTCTGTGATCTAGGTTGAATTAGTTTACATTATTAACCTGCAGATTCCAAAAGAATTTATATTTCAGAGAACCACATAGTTTTGAAAGTATTTAACATATCTTAAAGTAAACATAGAATTGCTGTGATGTAATATAGATTATTAAAGAAAATCAATTATAAATCCTATCGCAGTGATAAATAATATCAGACATCACACCTCAATGCTGAAGCTTTTTCTTAGTTTTCATCATTTGAACAATTTCTGCTATACCAAATGAACTTGGCCTAATAATTCGTTTTTAAGAGATAGTATACCAAAGAACGTTAAACTACAAAGATTTCCAATTTTATCCTCTAGAGTAAAGTATTTCTGCCCTATAATCTCAAAAACAACTAATTCACTAGGAAAATTAATTTCTTTTTTGAGCAAGCTAATTAGCTTTTTATGTGATGGAATTTAACACTTTTTAAATAAGTGTATTAGTGCTATAAAATCATGTGTATTTACTGTGGGCCCCAGTGGAATTATGGAAATGAGTTTTTAATTGGAGAGAGATCGTATAATATACTTGTTTTACTGGTAGTTGTTTTTGAATCATAGAGTTAGTTACTTCTTTGAGGATTCTCATCTGGCAAGTGAAAATAATAACATTTATCTGGCTGGATTATTGTAAAGATTAAGTGAGAATGTAGTATATTCTAGCATAGTGTCTGCCACCTGGTAGGCAGTGAGGAAATTGCTCCCCCTTCTGAAACCAGAGAATCCAATACTTAAAAACCTACATATAAAAATTATGCTGTTGTGTTGTTCTTATTTATAATCTTTAACATGAATTTTTATTGCTTTTTAAGTTGGTGGTGGTTGCTTTTGATGATGGGGAGCCTGTGATGTCCAGCAGTGCCACAGTGAAGATTCTTGTCTTACATCCTGGTGAGATCCCACGCTTCACACAGGAGGAATATAGGTATTGATTTCTGTCTGATTTTGAAATATCTAAAATATTTAGGGCATTTTTGAGAGAAGTCTCTCAAAATTGATGTAATATGAATTTATGAGTAGACTTCCAATTTTGGTTTTGGCATTTCTAAATTAACATAATATATATTTTAAATTTTTAAATAGTTAATATGAAAATTTAGTATAAAATATGTTTTAGTAATGGTTTAATGAATAACGAATACTTTAAAAAATTGATACAAACTTATTAAAATACAACATTATATTTTGGGAATTCAATTCTGATTAATGATCTGAATGGTTAGAAATAGACCTTTAGTTTCTCATTATTGCCAGGTAGAAAATTTCATTCAGTTTCCAATTTTGGCATATAATCTGCAATGATATTTTCCATCTAATTAGTGTGTATGTGTGCATGTGTGTGCATTTGTGTGTGTACATAGTGTGTGTATATACATAGTGTGTACATATATATAAATGTAGTGTGTGTATTTATATATATACTGTGATACTATGTGTATACATAAATTTATATATAAATATACTGTATATATATACACATTATATATACACACATATAATACATATACATTTATATATATAAAATGTGCATATATACCAATATTATATATTATAGTTTATGGTTTGTATGTATACTGTATTAGTCACCTGATGCAGCCATAACAAAATACCATAAACTGGGTGGCTTAAACAACAGAAAATTCTTTTCTTTTTTTTTTTTTTTTTTTTTTTGAGATGGAGTCTCGCTCTGTTGCCCCAGGGTGGAGTTCAGTGACATAATCTCAGCTCACTGCAAGCTCCACCTCCCGGGTTCCCACCATTCTCCTCCCTCAGCTTCCCAAGTAGCTGGGACTACAGGCGCCCACCACCCCGCCTGACTAATTTTTTGTATTTTTCGTAGAGGTGGGGTTTCACCACATTAGCCAGGATGATCTTGATCTCCTGACCTCCTGATCTGCCTGCCTCGGCCTGCCGAAGTGCTGGGATTACAGGCATGAGCCACCACGCCCGGCCACAACAGAAAGTTAATTTCTTATTGTTCTGGTAGCTGACAATCCAAGTTTAAGACCAGGGTGTCCACACGGTCAGGTTCAGGGTCTCTTCTGGTCTTACAGGCAGCTGCCTTTTTGCCATATCCTTACCTGGAGAGAGAGAGAAAGCAAGCTCTCTGGTATCTCTGGAAACAAATAACTGTATGAAAAATATAATACACTGTGAGAACACAGTGGTGAAAATAAGATCACAGTATCGAGAAAGCAGGCTAAGGGACACTTAACTATGTTTGAACATGATTAACATAGTTTTTAGTTGTATCTTGAAGGAAATGTAGAGTTTAATCAATCCAAAAAGATATAGACAGAAGTTTCACACTGAATAATCAGCATATGCAGAAATATAAATAAGGGGTGTGGGAGTCTACATTTAATTCCAGAATATTTTGGTAGTTTAGTCTATCCAAAGAAAAATTGAAAGTTGGATGATGATAATAATTGAGGATAATTAAAAATGAATATCTCAGATAATGGAGAACTTGATCATGTTCTAGGATGATTTTAGTGTTTTACAATTTCTTAGATTGAGCTAATAATTTTAAGCTACAGGAGGAGCTAAGGTACTGAGGATTAAGGTAGGTGAGGGACACATCTGCAAACACTTAACACACTGAACCAAGCAGTTTTATCCTTTCATACAAATCTGCCTTTAGAAGTATCTACACAAAAGTAAATTGTGTAATATAATTACCAGAAAACCCTCCATAGCATGTATGTAAATCATTGAGATGTAAACCATATGTAAAACAAATAAGAATTCTTGTTTAATCGTTTTAAAAGATTATTCTCACCCATATGTACATTATTATCTATTAGTTTCCTTTTTTCTGAAATAGTAACCTGTGCTTCCAATCCTTTGGATTGGATTCCAATTCCTTGCTATGGGATACAATAGTCCCCTCCTTATCCACAGTATCGTTTTTCACAGTTTGTTGCCCAAAGTCAACCGTGGTCAGAAAATATTAAGTGGAAAATTCCAGAAATAAACAATTCATAAGTTTTAAATTGTATGCCATTCTGAGTAGCATGATGAAATCTTATGCTGTCCTGTGCCACACTGCCCTGGAGCGGAATCATTCTTTTGTCCATTGTATCCAGGCTGCCCATCAGTCACTTAGTAAGTATGGTTTATCAGATTGAAAACAAACAAACAAACAAAAGAAACACATAGTAAATATAGGCTTTGTTGTCATCTGAAGTTCCAGGCCTCTAGTGGGGGTCTTGGAGTATATCCCCCATAAATAAAGGGGGACTCTTGTGCACAGTTTTCTGTTTTTGAAGAACTTCTCTGAATGTGTTAATTTTGAAGTTCTAAAGAACAGGACGGATATAAACTCACTATGTTTCTCACTAAATTATCTAGATCAGGTATTCTCAAAAAAATATACTTACTCTTCTAAGTGAATCCAAAAAAACGCTCACAGTTTTAACTTAAAATTCCCATCTGTGTTCTTCAAAGCCCCTTGCGGCAAGTCTAATTATCTTTGGAAACTCCAAGAGAAGAAGAAAGTGATAAAAAGCTTAAACTTCCTCTTTAAATAAACTTAAGTGGTGTACTGTTTCTCTAGGTTTTCATTTAGAACTCATTTCCTTGTTAATGGAAATATGCCTCTAGACTTCTCTTTTAGCTAAAATATTCAGGCCAAGGTCATAAATTGAAGCAGGGCATTGCTCATTTAACTCTCTTTATTAAGTATCTTTGCTTAATGCCGTGTTTTAAAAATGCAAATGTGTTGTTCAATGTGTAATTTACCATTTTGTACCATCTCTGCATAAAACTATTAACTTCAAATAGATTATCTTAATAAAGTTGTTGTTAACTTAGAGAGTAAAAATTAGCCAATTGTGTGGTACTAAAATTAACAACAGTCACATAGATATATGTGGAAGAATTTTGATCTTTCAGAACTTTTCTAACAATTACAAAATTGCCCTTGATTATCCCAGTTCATTTGGTATTCCGAATTATAAAGATAATTTGGTAATCTCGTTGCATCCTACTGTGTATTAATAATATGCACAATTGTACACACATAACTCCCAGAGATTCTAAGAATCAGTATCTTGGTCATAATGCATTTAGTAGTACTTGAATACTTAAAAGGATTAAATTTTTACCAAATAACCAGAAAATTTGAAAAATAAATGTTATACCAAATGTGAACAAGGACACTACTTTTTGGATAAATGCAAGTAATTGAATATAATTATGTTTATATAAGTCTAAATTTGAACCAAAATTTTAACTGAACTGTAAAGAAACTTAAGTCTAATGACTATCATCTTCAATTATCTCTTCATTCTTTTTGAAGATCATTGAGGAAATACATAGATAGCAGTATCTGGATGCCTCCTAAATCCTTTTTCTCATGGGTATATAGCTGGATTACATTTCCTCTCCTTACTAACTAGTGGTGAATTCTGAATTCTGCCATTTGACTGTTTTCTGGCCAAAAAAATATGAAACTAAGTGGTCTGCATCATTTTCTTAGAAGGCTTAGTCCCATTAGCTACTGTTGTTTCAACTAATATAAGTTGTTCAACATTTTATTAGTTTCCAACAACTAATCGCATAATTAATCAATCACATTTAAAAGTCATTCTCATTCATATTGCAGTATTTCCCAGCTTGACATTTTAAAAACAATATTCATGGTAGAATATTTTTATTTCTGTATGATATTTTCTTTTAATATGTTCAATTGCTAGCTTTGGCAATATGCCTGTGCCATTTCAGGTTGCTTTGGAGGCCAACACACTTTTCTATCTTAATGAAAAAATAGTGAAGCACATAATGGTTTCTGCCAACCTCATATGCCTCATTCCCTCTCTAATGTTTTCAAATTCATTTTACTGCCTCAACTGGATGCACATAATTCCCAGAGATGCTAAATGACATTATTAATTTTTGATCATTAGGATGGTCCTTTGTGTTGGGATTACTCCTAGTGAAAAACCTTCTACTTCTTGTGATCAAATTTGGGGGAAACATAAAAATGATAGCTCAGGATTTATGTTCTTTGTAGGGTGTAAGAGAAGGTAATGTGTTACAGATGGAAAGCAGTAATCTGGCACTGTAAGCTGAGGTACACATGGTTATTACATCTCAGGAATGTCTTCATTCCAATACTTGTGTTTGAATTCCATAGGAAAAATTAGCATTTAACAAATGATTAGGTATAAAAGAGAGATATTAAAGATAAAATATTTATTTATCGTAGAATATTTAACTGAATCATTGACCCATACCTCCCCCTCCTGTCACTGACTCCATTGACTTATTTCTATTAGATAGTCATTAAATCATTAAATTTCAGGGTAATCAGATTGAGTTAGGGCTAGTTTAGGCCACTGTAATAGGAAACCACCAAATTTCAATGATTTAGAGTTCAGGGACCTGGGACAACTCAGGGGTGACCATCTTCAACATTCTGTTTCAAAATAACTCATTATTACCATTTTAGTCAGGGGAAAGGGGAAAAGAGATAGAAGTCCACATCTAGAGATTTCCTTAATCAAGTGAGGTGAGAATTGATTTCACCTCATTTCAGTTCAGTTCACATTTCACTGTGAGAATCCAGGTACAGGTCTACATTTAGCTCTAACAAGGGTAGAGGAATGCTGTTCCTTGCTAGGCAACTATGTCCTAGTTCTACCTCAATTGTTGAGGAAAAAGGGGAAATGGTATAGGCGAAGACCTTGCACATTAAATATGTGATTGTAAACAATTTACAGATTTATAGATTTTAATTGCCACAGTGATTTTAAAATGACTTAGAATGCACAATGGGGTACATGAGCTGATGATATAATAGAATAGAAGTATTTTCACATTTAAATATGTATTAATGAAGTAAATTGTTCTTAAAATAACAAGAAAATGAATATTTATTTATTTTTAATTCAAAGCAAATCTCAGATTAACATTTCTGGT